GTTCAAGCCTGGTCCAGGAAGATCCTACATGCTGTGGAGCAACTAAGCCCGTGTGTCACAACTACTGAGTCTGCGCTCTAGAGCCCGCAAGCCACAACTACTGAGCCTGTGTGCCACAACTACTGAAGCTCACAAGCCTACAGCCTATGCTCTGCAATGAGAAGCTCACACACTGCAACAAAGAGTAGCCCCTGCTTGCCACAACTAGAGAAAGCCTGCATACAGCAATGAAGACCCAACACAGCCAAAAATAAATAAATTAATAAATTTTAAAAGTTACATTAAAAAATAATTTTCCTTCTTCCTTTCCAATTTGTGTACTTTTTATTTCATTTTCTTGCCTGATAATCCTGTCTAGGATCCAGTGTTGAACAGAGCAGACATCCTTGTCTTTTTCCTGATCTTTGGAAAATAGCATTCAAACTTTCACCATTAACTAGTTGTTAGTTGTAGGTTTTTCATAGATATGCTTTATCTGGTCAAGGAAATTCCTGTCCATGTTTAATCTGTGTGTTTTTTTTTTTTAAATCATGAAGCAATATTGAATTTTTTCAACTGCTTTTGCTGAGACTACTGGGCCGATCATGTGGTTTTTTCCTTTGTTCTATTAATATGATGTGTTACATTGCTTGGTTTTTCGATGGTAAACTAACCTTGCATTTTTGGGATAAGTCTCACTTAGTCATGGTATATAATCTTTTTCATATTTTGCTAGATTAAGTTTCCTAATTTTATTGAGTATTTTTGTATCTATATTCATAAAGGATAGTGGTTTACAATTTTCTTGTAATGTTTTGTCTGGTTTTGGTATCTGGGTAATACTGGCCTTATAAAATGGATTTGGAAGTGTTCCTTCCTCTTTCATTTTTTCAAAGAGTTTGTAAAAAACTGTTATTTTTTAAAAGTGTTTGGTAGCATCCTTTAGTGAAGCCACTTCAGCCCAGGACTGTTTTTCTTATTCAGATTTTTAATTTCTTCTTGAACCAGTTTAGTAGTTTGGCTCTCTCTAGGAATTTGTTCATTTTGTCTGCTACCTAATTTGTTAGCATGAAGTTGTTATATATATTATATATATATATTTACTATAATTCTTTTCATTCCTTTATGGTCAGTAGTCATGTTCCCTCTTAATTCTGACCTTAATAATTTGTATGTTCTCTTTTTTTCTTGATCAGTATAGCTAAAGCCTTATCAACATTACTGATATTTTCAAAAGAACTGACTTTTGGCTCCATTGACTTTCTCTACTGTTTTCTTATTCTCTCACTTGGCTCCACTGACTTTCTCTACTGTTTTCTTATTCTCTCACTTATCAATTTTAATCTTTATTTTTTTTTCTGTTTGCTATACTTCATTTGCTCTTGTTTCCCAGTGTCTAAAAGTGGAAGGTTAGGTTATTGATTTAAGACATTTCTTCTTTTTCAATAGATGGATTTACAGCTTCATCCCATAAGTCTTGGTATACTATGTTTTCCTTTTTGCTCATCTTAAAGTTTTGGTATATTGTTCCTTCATTTTCATTCATTTCAAATTATTTCCTAATTTCCTTTAGGTATGCTTCTTTGATCCATTGGTTATTTAAGCAGTGCGTTGTTTCTGCATATTTGTGAATCCTCAAGTTTCTTTCTGTTAATGTTATTCCATTGTGGTCAGAGAACATAATTTGTGTAATTTCACTTTTTATATTTTTTGAGGCTATTATATGGCCTACCACATACTCTATCCTGGAGAATGTTCCATATGCTTGAGAAGAATATATTTATATATTCGGCTGTTCTTAGGTGGGGAGTTCTATAGATATGTGTTAGGTCCAGTTGATTTATAGTTTTGTTTATAGTGTTGTTCATGATTTTTATTTCCTTGTTGATCTTCTTCCTGACTGTCCATCACTGCAAGTGGGGTGCTGAAGTCTCCAAATATTGTTGAATTATTTACTTCTCCTTGCAATTCTGTCAGTTTCTGTTTATGTTTTTTAAAGAAGCTGATAGAAGAAAGGCGAGCAAGTATATACTCATGTTTGTTATATAAAGTTTCTTTATTATCATTTATATCATTTGTTCCTATGGGATAATAGGAGGAAAAGATGGGAAATATTTGAGGAAACCTTTTTCATAATTAAGTAAACATGAAAGATAAAAGATTGAAATTGAGCGGATTAACAGAACACCTAAAAGGCAAGAAACGGAAAGATGCACAGCCTTCAAACCTTCGGAAATTTAGGTAATTAAAACCATCTAGGGGCTTTCCTGGTGGCGCAGTGGTTGAGAGTCCGCCTGCTGATGCAGGGGACGCGGGTTCGTGCCCCAGTCTGGGAGGATCCCACGTGCCGCGGAGCGGCTGGGCCCATGTGCCACAATTACTGAGGCCCAGGCACCTACAGCCCATGCTCCGCAAAAAGAGAAGCCACCACAATGAGAAGCTTGCGCACCACAATGAAGAGTAGCCCCTGCTCGCGGCAGCTAGAGAAAGCCCAATGCAGCCACGAAGACCCAAAGCAGCCAAAAATAAATAAATAAAATAAATTAAAAAAAAACATCGAAACATTCAAAATAATGGATTAATGGTAAATTATAAACACGCACACTTACTGGCATAGAAATATACTCTTATGTGAAGAAGTGTATCACAAAACTGTATACTAAATGATACAATGATTTCTCACTTGGTGCAGAGAGAAAGAGAGAGGAGGAGGAGTGAAAGGAGGGGATGGAGGGGAATGAGAAGGGAGGAGGAGGATGAGGTAGGAGGACATATACCAAAATGTTAACTGTGGGTCAAAGAATTATGAATGAATTTTATATTAAGGTTTCTGAATGTATGTATTTTTAATACTTGATGTATATTTGTGATAAAATGATAAACTTAAAAAATTAATCCAGCAGAAATGAGCAAAAAACATGAAAAGGCAAGTCACCTAAGATGAAATAAAAATGGCCAAAAATGTATGAAAAAAATTCAGCTTTGGGACTTCCCTGGTGGCACAGTGGTTAAGAATCCTGCTGCTAATGCAGGGGACACGGGTTCAATCCCTGGTCTGGGAAAATCCCATGTTGCTTAGAGCAACTAAGCCTGTGAGGCACAACTACTGAGCCTGTGCACCACAACTACTGAAGCCTGCATGCCCTAGAGCCTGTGTGCTTCAACTACTGAGCCCACGTGCTGCAACTACTGAAGCCCGCATGCTCTAGGGCCCACGTGCCACAACTACTGAGCCGGTGTGCTGCAACTACTGAAGCCCGTGCACTCTAGGGCCCGTGCGCTGCAACTACTGAAGCCTGCACGCTGCAACTACTGAGGCTGCGTGCTGCAACTGCTGAAGCCCACGTGCCTAGAGCCCGTGCTCCGCAACAAGAGAAGCTGTCACAATGAGAAGCCCGCGCAGTGCAACAAAGAGTAGTCCCCACTCACCACAACTAGAGAAAGCCCGCATGCAGCAACGAAGACCCAAAGCAGCCCAAAAAAAAATTCAGTATGTCTTAAAAAAAAAAATTCAGGGCTTCCCTGGTGGCGCAGTGCTTGAGAGTCCGCCTGCCGTTGCAGGGGATGCGGGTTCGTGCCCCG